GCAGCTGCCTGGCGCTGTGGAGCGGCTGCTGGGGCCGCCGGCTAGCGCGAGGAGCGCTGCCCGGGCGCCAGCTGCAGGCCCGCAGCCGCAGCCGCCCCGCCCAAGGTTTGGGAACGGGGCATTGCAAGACGTGGAAGAATGCTTAGGAGTCCTTATTAACTCTTGTGGGAGTGCTGGAGCTGAGGGCGAAACTCTCGCCGCGGCATTTGGGGTTAAGTCATTCCGTTTCGCGCTGCTGCGATTGGTGGTCACCTTTACCCGGCAGCAACACGATCCGCTGCAGCCAGCCACACGCAATGACGCACGGTGGAATCTAGTTTCGGGAAGAGCCTGTTGTCTGGTCAGGAAATGTTTTGGAAACGCAGTCCGCCACGACAGCAGCATCGCTCCGGCCTTGGACCTGGCGACCAAGCTGCTGCGCTCTCACAGCCTGCAGGCCTGCAGTCGCCAGCTGGCTGCCCTTGCCCAGTTTTTGCAAGATGCGGCAAACACGGGATCGGAACAACGCGAGCAGGACCGGCAACGACTACAAAAGCCTGCAGCTACGACTAGCGTCCGCTTCATCGGGGAATCGCTTTTAATGCAAGCTACATCCTTTATCGACTGCTTCACCGTCCTCACGTTCCGGCTGCTCGGAGGACCCATGGGTCAGCCGCAGCCGCAGCAGCCCCTCCCGGCCGCCCACCTCGCCTTCGTGACGGAGTTCACGTCCAGCCTGCAGAGCAGTGCCGTGATGGAGCACACGGCTCGGGCGCTGCTGCTGCTAACGATGAATGACGCAGCGGGCCCCAACGCCCCGGGTGAGCGTGTCATGGACGTAAAGACATTGTTCGTGACGTCGTACGATATCCTTAACAAGCTTGTCAGCTCGTACGGAATCCGCGAGGGACCGCGAGCCCAGCTGCGTACGGCGCTTTCCGGGCGCTGTGTACGGCATGCAGTGCTCGTGTACGGAGTTGCCTGCCTGCACGCGGCGGACGGCGGCCCGACGTATGGGCTGCCGCCGGAGGTGCTGCGGCGGGTGCCCGTGGAGGTTGAGACGGAGCGGAGCGACGTCCTCCGCTCTAGCGGCAGCGTTAGCGGTGGAGACGGCAGTGGCGCCAGAGGCAGCGGTGGAAGGCCTGGCGGTGTCGGCGGTAGCAGCTACAGCCAGCTCCAGGTCGTCGAGGACGAGCCTCTCATGACGGCTTTGTCTGTCCTGGGATCAGGTTTCGGAGACCCGCCGCCGGGCAGGGGCGCATCTTTGACGCTGGCGATGCGCATCGGTCACCTGGCGGTGGCGTCGGGGCGGGTATGGGCCGGACCGCCCGCGGCGTTGGCAGCCCCATCGCGTGGCGGCAGCTCCAGCGGCGGCGGCGGCAGCTGTGGCGGCGGCGGCGCTAGCAGCAGCACCAGCAGTGGCGGCGGCGCTAGCTCTTCCTCTGCAACGCAGCTGACCGCCGCCGCACCTGAGCCACTTCGGGCGGTGGTGGGTCGTGAGGATGTCCCCCGTCTGGCGGTGACTTCCCTTAAGATTGCCGCAGACCAGCAGACCCGGCGGGTCGGTGGTGCCGGGTGGTGGGCGGAGGAGGCGGAGTGGTGGGGTCTGGCGACCGGGGTGGCGCGTCACGTCGTGCGGGAAGCAATGCCACACGACAGAATGCGCTTGCTTTCTTCGTTTCGCTCGAAGCTTGCCGAGCTGGCGCTAGCTGTTCGTGGTAAGGCGCAAGTAGTGAGGGCGGCGTTTGAGGACTGCGCAGGGTGCTGAGACGGCCGGGCATGCGTTCTGTAAAGGGGCGCAGGTTTGGGGCCTGGTAAAGACTCGCGCGACGTTATTCGCATCCTATGCGTTTCCATGGTTCCATGCACTTGACATGCATCACCCCGGGGTACCGGTATAGTGCCCAACACGAGGCGCTATCAAGCTTAAACAAGGAGCGCTCTCAAGGAGCGCTTGCGGAGTTACCTTCTGCCTCTAAGTGCACCCGCCCCTGCCCTTGCGTCCCCCTCTGGTATCTACAATGCAGGTTTCCCGCCGCTCTCCTCCCCGCCGCCGCCCTCCCCCCTGCTGCGGGACCTGGCTGGCTCGCTGGCGCTCTGCCTGGAGTGGCTGCTGCGGCGGGGCGGGGAGGACACGGGGGGACCGGAGGCGGAGGTGGTGATGAGGCCTGGTGGTCACATCCAGGTGCTCCTCAAGTCTCTGGTGGTGCCGTACGCCGAGTCGCGCCACACAACCTCACTGGTAGCGACGCTGGGCAAGTTGCTGCGGTGCATGGACCTACGGGTCGCGGATGGCCCGTGGACACAGCAGGCATGCTTCCAGGAGCGCGTCCTGTTGCTGGTGAACGTCATGTTCGCAGATCAGCCAGCTCCTCCGCCGTCGCCGCAACCGCCGCCGCAGCAGCAGCAGGGGGTGTCGCAATCGCCCGACATGTCGCCACGCGGCGTGCCGTTCGCGGCGCCTCCAGCAAGTAGCCCCGCCGACTCCTCCTCAATCCTCAACAGCGACGTCGGCGAGCTGCTCCGCGCATTCACGCTTGGCGAGCTCCTGCCAGCGCTGTCGGGGCTGATCCTGAAGGGCTACCATGCGCGGAAGGCCGTAGAGCCTGCTGCAGCGGCGGCGACGGCGGAGGTGACGGCGGTGGCGGCAGCGGCTACAGTCGAATGCACCCCGGGACCTTCTTTAGGCTTGGGCATGAAGATAGCCTTGGTGACGCTACTCAGCCACCTACCAGGACTGGTACAGCCTTGCTTGGGGCAGCGCCTTGACGGCGGCGGCGGTAGCAACAGCAGCAGCTGCAGCAGCAGCAGCGCAGCGCGTGTTGACAGCGGCGGCGACTCTGCCATTCATACAACAACCACCAACCCGCCGCCTGGGTCATACGGCGGCACCGAGGGCTGGCGGCAGCAGCTGCTGGCGGATGTGGATGTCGTACCTCTGCTAGGCGCCGCCATGCACCTCCTGCCGCTGTCATCTGGCGCTTGGGTCCTGAGGCAGCTGCTTGAGAGCTGCGTCGCCGTCACTGTCGCCTTCCCGCAGCAGGTACGGCAGGCGGCGGCAGCGGCAGCCCAGGTGCCTGAGGTGCGCCCGTCCGCTGCATGCGCCCCGACGGCGGCTGGCGGCGGCGGCACTGCCGTACCCCGGGCTCCGCCAGCGCCGACCTGGCAGCCGGAGGCACTGCGAGCGCTGGCGGGGGCGATGCGAGCGGCGGAAGAGCAGGATGCGGTGGACTGGGCAGGTGCAGCGGAGGACCTGGCGGATGTGGTGCAGCGGTGGCGCGCTGGCGGCGGCTCCGAGGGAAGCTGTGACGAAGACACGGCGCTCATATCCCGTCTGGAGGCTCTCCTAGATGATATGCCTCCCGAACTAGCAGAGCTTCCTTCGCCGGCCGAGGCTCGCGACCAGCTGCTGCCTCGCCGCTGCGGCCACCCCGGCTGCGTCAACCTGGCGGGGGTGAGTGAGGCGGAGCTGCCGCTGCAGGCGTGCGGGCGGTGTGGAGGGGTGTGGTACTGCGGCCGGGAGTGCCAGATGGCACACTGGCGGGCGGGGCACCGGGAGCAGTGCGGCAGCGGGGGCAGGCGGCGGGCGGGGGCGGGTGGGGACGGATGAGGCAGCAAGCATGTAGAGGCCGAGCGAATTGTTGCAGCTGGATTGTTGCATGCATGGGGCAGAACAGGCCGGAGGAATGAAGCAGTACATGCGTGACGAACCGCGCCGTAGCTCCGTAGGCGGCATTGCAGGTGGCCCTAGTGCTTGCAGATGCACCCCTCCATACTTGTCGGTTCACGCTGCAAGGCAGCGGTTGGGTGATGAGCAAGGAGCAATAAACAGGCACCTACACCGAGAGCGTTACGGCATGCATTCGCTCGATTGCAATGCGCGTGGCTTTGGAAGCGGCACGTTTGGATTCAGGTCATGCAGCCAACAGGGGCCCTAGAAGCCACATTGGGTTTGCAGGCCACCAGGGGTTTCCGGACGGTGAAGGTGGGGATGAAGGGGCAAAGAACTGGGAGCCTTGACTTTCTGAAAGTTGCATGTTGTAATTTCCGTTGCCTAATGAACAGGGGGCAGTTTGAACGTCCTGTCCCGTTAGTGTTGATGGCGACATGTATGCGGGCTTACACAGAAGAGCGTGTGCCATTGTAGCTTTTCGTATTCCGCATTTGCGCCTGCCGTGTGCCGTACAGTACGGCATGTCGCACATGCACCAGATCCGCATGTGCCGTACCTGAATTGTGCATGCAGGCAGGGGTCCCGTTCACGATGTAAAGCCTTGCACATTCGAACACATCACTTGGGATGCTAGGCTGAGAAACCCGGCTAGCTAAATCCTACAACGGACGGCTGCGGACCAGACGCGTTCCCCAGCCGCCCGTCATGTCATCCCACATCGCCCACACCCGTGATTGTGCAGAGCCGCCACAAGCTCACGTTTCACGCTATCTCTAACGGTTTACATGGTACCGGTACGGGCTGTGCGCCCATTGGCTGTGCTGTTCCTGTCGCGTGACGCCCCGGTCCCGTTCCACCCGACATGCCAGCAGAGACTACAGCGGAGCCTAAGAGATGAGTATTGACTGCGTAATAACGCATACCTGTCCGGTTTCATGCATGCCTACCCCAGTACTGCCATGCTACCACGCTAACGAGTAGTGTACAACAACTACCAGTTCTGTACTGCACACTGCCAGCCCGACATCATCCGCCTCCAGGTATACCTCTACTCTTGTTGTCGGTCAACAGCTATAACAGCTACGGTTAGTTAGTACAGTTAGGCGGCGGCCAGTTATCTTAACCCGGACCTGCCAAGCCCGCTCCCGACCACCCTCCTCACCACGCCCCGCATGCCCAGCCCCCCCCTCAAAGCCGTCACCCCACATACGCTCCGACCTACCACTACCCCGCCCCATCACCTCCCGCACCATCTCCCCCACCACTCCCATCTCCCCCACCCCCCGCACTCCCCCCCGCGTCCCCCTCTCCTCCCCACCAGTCCCGCTCCCCAGGCGCGCGGTACCACCCCGGCCACTGCGTCACCGCCCCGCTGCGCCGGTCCCGCTCCCCATCCGCCAGCCAGTCCTGGAAGCGCGGGTACTCCCAGTTCCAGGCGGCGGCTGTACGGCAGCAGATGGTGCTCATGGAGAATATGTTACCGTACTTCTTGCCGTTCTGGCTGACCCGCAGGTAGATGTACAGCAGCCGCTGCAGTACGGTGTCGGAGCAGCGCAGCAGGCGGCCCAGCGTGGAGGGGGCCAGGGTGCGGAGCTCGGCACCCCTGGCAGGGGGAGGGGGAAGAGGGGGGGTTTGGGGGGAGGGAGGAGGAAGAGACGAACTCTTAACACAAGATGCCAAGGCGCAACCATGGAGGGTTGAGGGGAGGGAGACTTGGTGCGCATTGTGTTACGACAAGCTACCCCCCCCCAGCTCTCTCGTCAGATTTCTTATTTAAACCCCCCGCCAGCCCCTCACCCCCGCGGGCCCGCGCCCTCACCACTTGTTGGGCAGCAGGCTGGCCGCCTCCTGCAGCAGCCCCGCCCGGTGCCTCAGGGTGGCGGGCGCCAGGCACAGCAGCACCGGCTGGCTGGCCACCATGGTGCTCACGAACTCAGGGGACCTGCAGGCAGGCGGGTGGGGGGTGGGTTGGGGGTGGGAGGGTAGAGAGGACTAACTGGGCAGGCGGGCAGGGTGCTGGGGTGGCAGCAAGTAATATTTGATCCTCATCCCCACTCCCGCACCCCCCCCACCCCAACCTCATCCTCCCCCCCCCACTCACTTGCCCAGCAGCGCCCCCAGCAGCGCCACCCGCCCCCCCACCGCCCCCGGGTCCGTGCCCAGCAGCGAGGGGAAGCGACACACCGCCTGCAGCACCTGCGCCCGCGGCAGCTGCAGCTGCGTGTTCAGGGCGGCCAGCTTGGAGGAGATCATGCGAGGGGTCTGGGGGAGAGGGGAGGGATTACCGTAGTTGGGACAGGAGGGCGCGGTGAGTGGTTGCAAGCTTCGCATCTCGACCAAGCCCGTCACCCCTGCGAAACACCCGTAGGAAGCTAAGCGAGCAGCAGCGGCAGCAGCAACAGCACTCATGCATACACAACCCTTGCCTGCTTTCGTCTCCACTCCCTCCCTCCCTCCCTCCAGTTCTTCCCAGTTTTCCTTCTTTCACACCTCCATCCCTTCATCTCTCTCCTTCCCGTTCCCTCCCCCTCCACCAGCAGCTTCACTTATCATTCACCTCATTCACTATACCCCCCCTCAGCCCCAACCCCACCCCCTGTTGCAGCCCCCCCCCGCCCCCCCCACCAGCTGCATGATGTGTGGGCAGCGGCGGGCGATGTGTCGTACCGCCTCCCGCCCCAGCACCTCCTCCAGCCCCGCCAGCCGCGCCGCCAGGGAGGCGGGCGTCATGGAGGCCAGCAGCCGCTGCCAGCTGGGGAGGGGAGGGGGAGGGGAGGGGAGGGGAGCGGAGGGGGAGGGGAGGGGAGGGGAAAAGGAGAATACTCAGTGTGCTGAGTGAGAATGGCAAACAAGACGAGCGGAAGGGGAGGAGGGGGAGGAAGGAAGGGAGAGAGGGGAGGAAAGGTGGTGGGCGGTTTGGAAGGTAGATAATCCAGAAGTTGGTAATGACAGTGTAAAGTAACCCAACTGCGATGAAAGCCATAAGAGGGAGGGGGAGGGGGTGAGAGGGCGGGGTCTAGGCAAGCAGTGGTAGCACGCAGCGGCTACTACCGGTACCAGTACCCGCCCCCGTTGACGGCCCCCCCCATTCGGGATTCGGGATTGGGACTGTGTTGTTGCACTTACCGGTATTTATAATTTTCCCCCCCACTCCTCACCCACCTGGCGCTAGGCGGCCGCAGCTCCTCAGGCTCCATTCCCAGATGCCGCAGCAGCAGCGTGCGCAGCTCCAGATCACGACAAGCTAGCGCTCCCGGCGTGAGAGGGGGCGAGGCGGGCCGGCCGCGGGGGCGCCGGGGGGCGGCGGCTGCAGCTGCGTCCAGGTCGCCGCGTTTGAGGGGCGGCCTGCCACGTGGGCGCTTTACTACCTGCTGTTGATCCTGCTGTTGCTGTTGTGCGGGTTGTTTGAGTAAGGGATGCGAATTTGACAGGCTCCCGGCTGGGTCCGGAGCGGAAGCGGTGCTCGGGGAGGGCGATGGGGAGGCTTCATTTGCATGCTTGGGCTGCTTGCGGGGCCGACCGCGAGGACGGGGAGAGCTCGAGTCGCCGCCGCTACCGTTTCTGCTCCTGATCGCAGCGCACGGAGCTAATTTTATATGAGGATTATGGAGATGGATGAATCGAATTACTGCCACAGGGGTTTTGTGTTGCCATGGAAGGGCCTTGGATGTGGATTGCAACAGCGATGTTGCGGCACAGGGCATCGCCGGTAGGAGTTGCTGGAGCTGAGAGCGTTTATCTGTTTAACGTCTTAATGCCTAATGCGGAAGAATAAGCAGGGGATTTTCGGATTCACACTAGGGTTGACAGTGTCAGCGTATGCGAAAAAAGAGAAGGCAAGTAGGCAACACAACATGAGCTGTTGTTAGTAGGCTCTTCAATGGTGAACTACGCAGCAAGACAACTTGCTTGCTCCTGAACATCACAAATGCCAAGATTGCCCAGAGAATCTGTCCTCAGAAACCAGTACGGCCAACCCCTCGTCCCCTTTAGATGCACCCTCGGCTCCACTGAACTAGAGCTGCTGGTTAGAGGCTTGCATAGTGCAAACGTTGGTATGGCATGGGGTCTCTAAAATAGAACTATACTGGAGTACACGAAAAGGTGCCGAAGAGCGAGGTTATTCGTCTTTCCCTAGCCAGGATGCATTGGATACAACTGGAGGCTTAATGCTATTGATGTAATATATTGTAGTAGGTAGCCGCTTGCAGGATGCCGTAGGTTGCATCCTTCCGCTTGCACGAGTCGGGAACCGCATTGTTCGCTTCTGTCCTGCTGGGACGACTGAAATGGGGCGCTCAAAGCGTTCAAGGCTAGACGCGAAGAATAATACGGAGCCAACGGCGACCGACGACAACCAAGAGCCCTCGCCTTCGAAAAGGCCTCGCCGCACCTCAGCTAGACTCAATCGCAACGCGGAAAGTATGCATGATATGCCCTCTTCAGACACTGCCAATCCAGCTTTGGAGGCTGTTGTACCGTCTTCCACAACTGCCGCGGCTGTTGGTGTCACCGCAACCTCGTCAACAGACACTCCCAGCGCTCCACCTGCCGATTCAGCGCACGGCTGTGCGCCGCCAGGCTCCCTCTCCAGATTAATTCCTCCACAAGCTTCTCCTTCAAGCAGCGGCAAAGGCAGCTCCCAGGAGCCCTCACTAGCACCACCACCTCCCGACCTTAACTGCGCACCTCCCAGCAAGCGCTTGGAAGCATCGGCCATGCAAGCAGAGGAAGGGGCGACGGCGGATGCTGCAGGTGCGCCCCGAAGGACGAGATGCGCCCGCGTCATTCCTGCCCTGCAAGCCCCATTAGTTCCGGCATGAATCACGCCTCCTCGTGTTCCTCACGCTCCACTTGGCTCAACACAAACCAGGCACCTCGCATTCTACCCTCCTTACCCTCTGTATGCTGCCGCTTGCTGCCTCTTACACGGGCACCTGCCTTGCTGCCCAGCCAGTACCGCCCACCCCTCACCCCGCTCCCGCCCGCCGCCCTTCCCCAGCACCTCCACCCCCCTCAGAAGGGGCCGCTACCACTGCCAATGCCGCGGAGGCAGCCGCAGCCGCCCCCTCCGCTGCCTCCCTCCTCCCCAGCCCAGGCGGACCCTGCTCCTCCCACCCCGCTCCGGGTACGACAGCGGCGGGTACGGGTACGGGTGCGGGTACGGCAGCTGTCCGCTGCGCCGCCTACCAGCTGTACGAGCAACTCACGAGGCCGCAGCAGGACGACGGCGGAGGCGAGGGCGGTGGGGATGGGCCCCGGTGGCCTGAGGGCACGAGGGTGTGGGCCAAGGTGCGGACAGAGACTCTGGAGGGAGGGGCGGGGCCGCTACAGAGAGGTTTAAGCCCCGGATGAGGATGGGCTCACGGCACGCTTGCCGATGAGGTCGTTTGGGTCACCTAGGCCTTGCGTTCCACCTCCCCTCGTGCCAGCCCCACATCCAACCCATGTTGTGACGCTTTCGCACTTTCGCGGCCGCCTGAAGGGGGCTGAAGGGCCCCTCGCTCGCCGGCTGCTGACGTGTGTGCTTTCCCCGCTCTGTGCCTCCTCCAGACCCAAGGCTACTGCAGCTGGCCGGGTGTCGTGTTTTCCCTGCGCCGCTGCCGCAAGGAGGAGGTGCCGGACCTGCTGGACACCTACCGGCCGGGATGCACGCTGGTGCACTTCTACGGTGGGGCGCTGGGTGCACTGCAGCGGGGGGGGACAGGGGGGAGGCGGAGAGGGCGGGGCAGGGTGTGGTGGGTGGCAATGTGGATGGGTATAGAGGAAGCCGGTTACCGGTGTGGTGACTAGGCGAACCAACAGCGGGGTTGGGGGTTGGAGGAGTGGGATTGTAAAAGGAAGGGAAGCAACGCTAACAGATGCGGGGTCACGAGGGGCAAGGACGAATAGTCCACGTCATATCTGCAGTGCCACAGCTGGGTTCATGTGAGCCCATCCAGAAGACTTCCCCTTTAGCGCAGGCGCCAGCTCACCCTTCCGCCTCACCCCCTCCCCCTCTACATGCCGTTACTTGCCCCTCCTGCCCCTTCTCCCGCCTCTCTCTTACCCGGTACATGTTACGTCTTACCACCCGCCTCTCCTCCTCCCCCCGCCAGGCTCCCACAACTACTCGTGGGCTGCTTCCGCCTCCCTCAGCGCCTGGGCCACCGACCACAAGTCGCGCTGGGCGGCCCTGCAGGCGTACGCCGCGAAATCGGAGTGCGTGCGGGCTGGGGGAGGGGTCAGGGTTGGTGGGGTAATCCGCACGGGACTAAAAGTTCAGGCTGGTTAGTTTGCCAAGTCGTAAAAGTGGTCACCAGCCGAGCAGAGCGCCGACTAGAGTGGACGGGCGGGGTCCACTGCTAGCCAAGCCGCAATGCATGGGAAGGTGTCTACGGCAGCTGAAGAGACGGGTCCGACCACCCAGTGCAGAGAGGAGCCCCCTCTCCTGCCCCTCCGCCGCTTCCATGCACCCACTCTTCCTCTCCACTCGACGGAAACCCGCACCGGCCCTCCCACTCACCCCTTTCCCCTCACCCCTTACCCTACCCCTCCTCTCTCATCCCCCCTCTCGCATCCCTCCCGTTCACCCCCCCGCAGCAACCGGCTCGCCAACTTAACCCTGGCGGAGCTCTCCGGGGCGGCAGCAGGGCCCCGCGCCGGCTCCAACCCCGCCCGCGAGCTGACCCGCGTGCTGCAGGTGTGGCGCCGCGCGAGGGGGGCTGACGGCAAGGAGGCGGCCAACAAGAAGGGGGCTGGCGGGCGCAAGAAGGGGGCGGGTGGCGCTGCTGCTGCTTGCTGCGAGGGCTGCGGAGACACCGGCACACAGGCATGTGGTGCGGGGTGGGTGGGGGTGATAGGGTGATGTGACTGGGGCTGGGGCTGGGCTGGCGCCGCGGAGGCCGCTGCGCACCTGGGAGGCGGCACACTGTTTGTTGTAGCACCTGTTCTATTGCAGGCTTTGCAGCAAAAACGCTGCTGACGCTGTCCGAAGTCGCTCCTCCTAGGACAAGGAACTGTTTTCTTTGTGCTGTTTTGCTATCGAGCTGTTGGGCCGGCAAGCCCGTAACACTGGCAAACCTCTCCCAGTTCCGTTGGCATCTCATCCTCATTCTTCGCCACCGCCGCCGCCCGCTCCCATGTCCCAACCTCCCAGGTCACGTGTCGCTTCTGCCGCTGCGCCTTCCACACGCTTTGTTTGCCCGTACCACACGTCACTCCTGCGCACATGCTGGCAGAGGCGGCGGCGCAAGCAGCGGCGGCAGAGGCGGCTGCAGCGGGGGCAGAAGCAGCAGGGGGGGCAGCAGCAGCGGGGGCAGCAGCAGCGGGGTCAGCAGCAGCAGGCGGTACTGGCACGGGTAGACGCGGCCGCGGCCCCCCCCAGGGGCCTGTGGTGCATGCGAGCTGGCAGTGCGGCAGTTGCGGACAAACTAACGAGGTGCATGCGATGAGAGTGGGAGGGACAGGGGATGGGAACATGGGTTGCAGGAGTAGTAGGAGGAACCCGATGTGAAGGAGGGAAGGGCAGGAAGGTATGGCTCGTCAAACCAGGCAGGTCATTTAGGCTATTCGGCGGGAGGGGGGGGGGCGACGTGATGGCCGCACCGGAGTTAGGAAACAAACCATCAACAGAGTGACAGGCTATCTAGCGGGGCGGGGGAAGGGGGTCCAGCACAAGTGGGGGCAGGTGTGCTGTAACCGTTGTATGGCACCATCAAGCACGCGGACATGCCGCCACAAGCGCCCTGCCTGCCTGCCTGCCCTCCTGCCCGCTGGCTGCAGGTCAAGGGACCGGCCCCGCCACCCCCGGCCTCGTTGACGCCCAAGGCGGCTGGCAACACCAGGGCTGCGCCAAAACGAGGAGCCGCCGCCGCCGCCGCTGCTGCAGCCGCCGCCGCAGCGGGTGTTACACCCGGTAGGCATGCGTTGATGACGTCGCCAGGTCGGGTGCGCCTCTCTTCCTGATGAACACGTTTTGGCTCATCCTAGCGGTGGTGTTCGGCTGGGAAGCGGCACCATGAAGAACCCACCTCATTCCACCCCACTACAATCTCCTTGTTCGATGGCCCCTGGGTCGGGCGTCGGGCATCGGGATTGAGGACTGAAGTTCGTTCTCCTTCTCTACCTCCTATTTACGCCATTCCCCGCTTCCACGCAGGTGCTGATGCAGCAGGTGCCCCCACGGACACCCCCACCCCTCCCGTCGCCGTCTCTCGGAGAGGCAGGCGCCTGGCGGGACCTGGCGCAGCGCTGCTAGCCCTCCTCAGTGGGGACGCAGTGGGGGTGGAGGAGGAGGAGGAGGAGGAGAAGGTGAAGCGACGCGCGGGTCATGGCAGGTCGCAGCGGCAGCTCCAGTCCAAACAGCGCGGGGCGGCTGAGGAAGGGTCTGACCGTGAGGCGAAGGCGCCGCTGCCGCCGCATCCGGAGAGGCTGGCGCTGTATGAGCGGCTGTGCCGCATGGGGGAGGAAGGGGAGGAGCAGGAGGGAGAGGGGCAGGAGCAGGGGAAGGGAAAGGGGGCAGGAGCAGCGGGGGAGAAGGCGGCAGGTCGGCAGCGGCGGCCGCCATTTGGGACAAGGGTCTGGTTGAAGGTGCGCGGGGTCGGGGGCAGAGCCAGGGGGAAGCGAGGCCGCCTGCATGGTGGCGCAGGTGGCAGGGAGGGTGTACGACACGGTGCTGGGCGCTGGCGTGTGCATGGCGCCTGCAGGTTGCATGACCTGCTGCTTGCGCGCGCGTATGCGGGTGGGGTGGGTCGATGTGCCCTCGGCGGCTCTTGGACTTGCTTTACCTGCCCAGGCTTCCTGCCTCTTGTGTCCTGAATACTGACCTCCGTTCTCAACCCGCGTGTGCAGACTCAACACTACTGCACCTGGCCGGGTGTCGTGTTTTCCCTGCGCCACTGCCGTAAGGAGGAGGTGCCGGACCTGCTGGACACCTACCAGCCGGGATGCACGCTGGTGCACTTCTACGGTGGGGCGCTGGGTGCACTGCAGCGGGGGGGGGAGGGGGCGGAGGGAGGGCAGACAGGGTGTGGAGCGCGGCCGCGTTGCTGTTTTCTACGTGGTTGCGGCAGGGTGCGGCAAAACCATGTCCTTGTCCCGCCTAGCGGGTCGAGGATGCTTCCCGCATCTGAGCTCCACCACCGCCTCCTCCTCCTACGCCCCGGGCTTTCCCTCACATCTCTCCCATGGTGAAGTCTGTTAACATGCCTAGCCATTTCTTTCCTTCTTATCCCGCCGCCCCAGCCTGACGCAGAAACTCCAACCTCTGTTTTACCCCCTCTGTTATATCCCCCCCCCAGTGTTTCCGCGTCTCAGCTTATCTAATCCCCCCCACCACCCCACCCCACCCCACTCCCGCCACCCAGGCGAACACAATCACATGTGGATCCCCGACGAGGAGGTGGCGGCGCAGCTGGCGGCTGCAAAGCAGCCAGGATTTGAGGCGCAGCGGAGGGCGGAGCTGGAGACGTGGAGCAGGAGGAACAAGAAGTGAGGGTCGGGGAGGTGGTCGGGGAGGGGAAGGGAAGAGATACCGTCTTAGGCCGGGCTTTAGCTTGTGGGGGACAGAGGTGGTTTCGCCGGACGGCCTCTCGAGGTGGTTGCCAACGTTTGTGTTGGCTGAAGCCGGGTTCCGACAGCCAAGTGCTCCGCTTCTTGCATGCCGGCGGCCATTCCATGCCGGCTCAGCAATCGTCACCCTGAGCCCCCCGCACAGTCGTGAAGGACGCGCCCTCACGCTGCCCTGCTGCCTGCCTCCCTGGTCCTGCTGCCGGCACAAACCACATGTTTACGACCCAGCAATCCTGTCCGCTCCTGCCCATCCCTTCCTTCCCTCCCGGTCCCGCCCGCCCCTTCCTTCCCTTCCTCAGCAACCTCGGCGCTCCCATCACTCTGGAGGAGCTGGCGTCAGGGGACGACCCGGGTGCCCTGGGGTTGGCAGGGTCCGCAGCGGGGGGCGAGGGCAGCGGTGGTGGCAGCGGGGGCGGGGGCGGGCCGCACCGGCTGCCTGATCCCGCTGCGGAGTTGGCGCGGGTGCGGGAGTTGCGGGAGGCTCGGCTGACGGAGGCGGAGGAGGCGGCGGAGGAGGAGGCGTTGGAGGCGCTGAGGGCGGGTGTGGGGCTGACGGGGCCCGGCCCGGGGGAGGGGGCGGAGGCAGGCGGAGGCGGCGGTGGGCTGGTGGGTGGCTTCAGCGGGTGGCGGCGACTGCTGCGGGTGTGCGCTGCGTGCGAGGAGGGCGGGGGCCAGGTGAGGGGGTGTTGAAGGGGGTGTGAGGGGGTTGGTCAGCCGGACTCGTGCTCATGACTCATCTCATGGCTACTACCGTTAAGTATGTTTGCGTATTCCGTGTTTCTGTATCTTTTCACGGCATACTTATTTATTTAGTAGTAGCGCGACTCCACCCCTCCCCTCCCCGCAGCTGTCCTGTGTGTCATGCCGCCGCTCCTGCCACACGCTGTGTCTGCGGCCGCCCTTCCTGAGCCCTGCCGACATGCCGCCGGGCCATGTGTGGAGGTGCGGACAGTGTGGGGCGGACAATGCGACGGCGGAGGCTCAGCGGGGGCCCGGAGGGGGAGCAGGAGGAAGAGCAGGAGGAGCGGCGGCGGCGGCAGGAGCAGGCGGGGAGGAGGCGGAGGAGGGCGGCGGACGCAAGGGCCGCACAGAGGATATGGGTGCGTGGGGTGCTGGTGAACTGGTGGTGGTGTTTTGAGGGGTGGGTTGGGGGGGGGGTAAGGCACAGGTGCATGGCTGGGGATGACCAAATGCTTGGGGACGTGCCGCGTGCGTGCGTGCTGTGTTTGCGTCGATGTGCGACCCATGGGTCGGTTGGGCATTCTCCGCTAACTCCGTACTCGTCTCCGCCGCCTCCCCTGACCTTCACTCTCGCCCCCCACCTCCCACGACAGAGCGGATGGGTCTGACCCCCGACTGGATCATTACTGCGGGCGCATTCTCCGTCTTCCAGCTGCCGGTGAGGGGTACCTTCCTGCCTTTACACGCGCTTGTCCACGACGTGCCGCCTTGAAGTGAACCCGCCGAGATTCTCCTAATTGTTTCTAACCTCCTTACAGTCCCCAGCCGCTCTCCCCTGTGGCGATGCACCTCTTCCTGCCCCCTCCCACACTCCCCTCGCTCCGCTCCTTCCGCGCAGCGCCCCACCGCCTCCCACCCCTTCATCCGCGGACTACTGGACCCCTGCACCAACTCCAAGGTGCGGCAGGCGGCATGTCGGGGTGCGGTGGCGGTGGTGGAACATGCATTGGGTTGGGGCTGTGGTAGGCGCCGCACATCTTAGGAAAGCATCCCTGCCTTCCCCTCCCTCTCCCTCTCCCTTCCCGCCTCCACTCTCAACCCCCTTCAGTGCCTAATACGAAGCACACTACCAAACCCTCTCGTTCCCTTCCCCTCCCTCCCCACCGCCCCTCCCCCCCCTCAGTCCCACCCCAATATCCCCGCTGAGGTGCTGTACGACAAGCACGACGACGGCCTGTGCCTCTCCAACCCCTGGTCCGGCTACTACGTCATCCTCAACCCCGAGTTCACCAGCCAGACGCAGTGGCGCTTCGTGAACCGCGCCATTGACGAGGTGGAGGGCGGCGAGGTGCCCGGGGTGCTGCTGGTGTGCCGCAACTCCACGGACACCGCGTACTTCCAGCGGCTGAGGCCCTACCCGCGGGTGATGCTCAGAAGGTGTGGGGGGAGGGGGAAGAGGGGGGACAAAAATGGGGAACTGACGAGCTGCATGACAAGGCTTCACCACAGGGGGTGGGGGGGAGTAAAAACGAACAAGTGCAACAGCTAGAATCCCAATAGGAGGGGGGCAAAGGGAGTGGAGGGGTGTAGGATGGGGCAAGAAGGTTAGTGTACGCAGGTGGTGGTGTTTTTTAGGCTGCGTGGGGGCCTTGTTAAGGACATGGGCCTTTTGGTGGACACGTGGGGTGGGAGCGCGGGTGGCGGCCGCCCTGCCTTGTCAGCCCGAGGCAGGCGCCTCTGTTCCGCTCCCCTTAACAGCAACTCAAGCACTTGCAGCCACCCGCCGCCGCCCCGCGCGCTTACCATTGTTACCAACCCTTGCCCCTCTGCCCCTCTCCTCCGCACTCCCCCACGCCCGCTCGCCCCCTCCCCCCAACAGGACCAGTGCCCGCTTCAAGGACTACGACAAGACGCCCATCGGGTTCGGAGTGGCGGTGTTTTGCATCGCCGCGGCGGGGCCGCAGCGGGCGCCGCTGTACCAGCGCTTCGTGGACGCGTTCGGGGACTGGGGCGAGCCCAACATACCCATTGACAGCGGTGAGGCAGGGAGAGGAAGGAGCGGGGGAGGGGAATAGGGAAAATGAGACGCGAGGAACCACTGACCGTGGCGGGGAAGGGGAGGCAGCTGGAGAGAGTGCGGAGAGCTAAGGCTAAGGCAGATGCTGGGACTGTTTTCTGTCGCTTTTTGCTTCGGCGTATACCAGGAGTACGGCACCTCGTGTAAAGCAGGGGTCGCTGAACCAACGTGCAGCAGTAACAGCGCTCCTTTGTGCTCCACCCTCCCGCCTCCCCTCCAACCCTTGTCTCCCCTCCTCCCCTCATTTGCTTTCTCCCCCCCACCCCCCTCCCCCTGCCAGCCTTCGTGTCCTCTCCTGTCTTCTGCCAGCTGCTGGAGCGGCTGACGCAGCACGCCACCCGCCACCTGCGGGACAACTGGGTGCAGTGCAGCGCGTGTAGCAAGGTAAGGGGGCGGACAGGAGGCGGGGAGGCAGGAGGGAGGGAGGATGTGGGGGAGGGAGGGGCGGATTGGGGATCGCCGTGGCCGTGGAGTGCGCCGTAAGGTGCGTCTCAGCCTCCCTCCGAGAGCCTCCTCCGGCATACATGCATGCATGGCTCCGTTTGGGGCTTCACGCAGCGGTGCTGCACCATGATGCCCTCCCCTCCCCATACTCTTTCCCCCTGCCTTACCGCCCCGCCCCCCCTTGCAGTGGCGTATCGTGTCGTACGAGGTGTTTCAGCGGCTGGAGGGCGACACGGACGAGGAGGCGCAGTGGACGTGCGCGCAGCTGGGGTGAGAGGGCTGCCGGGCCGCAAGAAGCTGTAACGGGGTTTCCCAGCGGTTTTATTGAAGCGTATATTTATATTTGTGGCTGAATAGGACGACGGAAAGCCGGCCGTGGTAGGGGGCCCGGGGGGAGGGTGTCAGGCATGCTGCACTGCGGCATACAGATGCAGAGGACGTTTTAGCTTGGCATGTTGGTTCTCCCACCGTTGTAGTACAACACTTACCTGCTTTTGCCTCCCTCCAAACCTGCTCTACATTCCCTACCTGCCTGCCTCCCTCCCAAAGGAGTGGCGGATGCGGGCGAGCTCAGACCCGGGCGGAGGCGGAGGGGGTACACTACGTGCGACGGCGGGGCGCGGCGGGGGCGGCGGAGCGGGGCCGGGCGGGGCAGGCGGCGGGGTCGACAAAGGGGGCAGAGGGGGCAGGGCAGCAGCAACAGCAGCTAGAGGGGCCCCAGGAGGGGGCAGGGCAGCAGATGCAGGACCAGCCGGAGCAGCCGCAGGAGAGGGAGGCGTTGATGCCGGATGAAGGCGAGCAGCACGAGGAGGGGGCGGGGCAGCAGCAGCCGGTGCAGGAGCAGGAGCAGCAGGGGCAGGCGGCTACTACTGGCGTTAATGGCGTTGGGGATGTTGAGGGAGCAGCGGTGGCTGAGGAGGCCGATGTGGTTCCGGTAGGAGGCGGGGCAAGCGCTTCGGCGGGGGTCTCTGAGCTGCTGTGTGGGGCAGCTGGGGGCGCGGAGGTACGACAGGAGACAAGACGGGCAGACATCCTGGCTGAGGCGACGGACATGGCAACAGAGCTTGCAGCGGCGGCGGTGGCAGCAGAGGCGGCGGCGGTGGCAGCGGTTACAGCGGCATCAGCGGGTACACTGCAGGTTCCCCTGGAGCAGTGGCGCCTTGGCACCGGAGAGGATGCAGTCCCGACTGCTACAACGCAGACCCCAGCAACAGGGGTTGGACAGGTGTTGACAGAGGTGGAAATGTTGGAGGTGGCTGACGAGGCGCGACCGGAGGCTGGCGACGTGACCAGGCTAGGCGGGCCTGCAGCTCTGTCTGGGCCTCATCAGGCACCCTCGCTGCTGCCTCCACTGCTGCCGCCGTTACTACCGCCGCTGCTGCCGCTGTCAGCAACACCACGGCAGGAGCAGCCGCCGTTCACGCCGCAGGGCCCTGCGAGTCCCCCGGGGACACCGGGGCAGCAGCTGGGCGGGGAGACGGCAGCGGCGGGGCCGAACGCTAGGGTACCTGTACCACGCCCCCCGGCTGCCCTCGGTCCCAGACCACCTGGAGCAGTTGTACTGCTGGGAGGGGGCGACAAGGCGGCTGGGGCTCACCAGCTGACTGTGACTGGTGGCAGCAGGGCGAGCCAGGAGATGAGGGAAGGTTTGGGGGCTGCAGCCGAGGCGGGGGGTGCAAAACTACAGCGCGCGGCTGGAGTAGGAGAAGAGGGAGAGGGAGAGGGAGAGCCCAGCCGGACGAAGAAGCCCTTGAGGAGGACGCCGAGGAGGACGCCGAGGCGGGCGGTGGCAGCGGAAGACCCGGCGGTTGCGTCTGAAGACTCGCCGCCCGCAAGCAGGGTGCAGCCGCATGCAGGGCCCCACCTGCAGCTCAGCCTCCCCGCACCCGCAATCGCACCTGCACCTGCACCCGCACCTGCACCTGCACCCGCACCTGCACCCGCACCCGCACCCGCCCTCGCACCGCTAGACTGGGCGCTGCCAGCAGCTTTGTCCGACTGGGCCCCGCGGCTAGGAGGAACCGGCAACAGCACCGGCAACAGCGGCGACGTCTGGGCGCATCCGTTTGGGCAGCAGCACCAGAGGGGTGAGGAGGAGCCCGGGACTGCCGCTGCTACTGCCGGCCTCGCCTCTGGCGCGGCCCTTGCTGCTGCCGCCGCCGCCGGCCTCGCCGCCGCCTCGGTAGCCGCAAGCACCGCTACCCCTGCCCACCTGCCGGTCAGTGGCGCGGCTGGTACCGGGCCTCTGCTCTGGCCTGCCGCCGCCCCAGCTCTTGCTAGCGGCTTGGGTGGCATGTTGTTCAACCAGGGATGGGCCTCCCCTCCTCCGCAGCCGCCTCGCCCCCAGGAGGATGCAACTGCAGGAGCCGCAGCTGCCTTTCTGTGCCTAGACTCGGCCGCCGCGTCCCGCCCACTAGGCCCCTCTATGACTGCTGCCAGCCGCGGTCAGCCGCTTGGCTTCCTATCTCCTCCCTCCGCCCTCCTAGCTCCCATGCAGCACCAGCCGGCCGCCACACCAGCAGTCCCCCAGCAGCAGCTTCTGCGGCAGCCGGGGCCAGCCGGGGTGCTGGCAGCCCTTGCTGTCCCATCCCTGCCTCGCGCCTCCTGCCCCTCCCAGCCCACCTCCCCGCCCCGTCAGCACCACCAAGGCCCGCTGCAACAGCCGCAAGCCAACCCGCTGGACTCAATGATGCAGAAGCTGCACGCCCCGCCGCGTTCACAGCAGCAACAGCTGCAACAACTTCAACGGCTGCAACAGCTGACACAGCTGCAACAGCTACTACAGCAGCAGGCCTTGCGACAGCAGCTGCTGCGGCAGCCGCCGCTACCGCAACAGCAGCAGCAGCAGCAGCCGGGCCAGCTGCTCCATCTGGGAACGACAAACACGCACGCGTCGGCGCTATCGCAGCCCAGACAGCCGCAGCTGATGTACTCGAATTCCCAACTGCAATCTCAGCAGGCGCTACTGTTAAGCGGGACGGACCCACGGGTCAGTGCATCGTATAGGGGAGGCCTGGGCGCACAGGCAAGCAACGCCGCAACTGGGTGTATGACGCTGCCAGCGGCGCCCGCCGGAGCGGGGCTGCTTGCCAATCCCCTCCTGCAGAGTAGCACGGGTAGTGGGACAGTCGCAGCAGCAGCCTCACGGCCTGCTGCCGCGCCCCTGTCGGCGGCTCAGGCAGTGGCGGCCCTTGCTGCTGCTGCGCGGGCACCCACAGCGCACCCACCACACCTGCGACAGCCTGCTACCGCCTCCGCCACCACCGCGGCCCTCCCTACCACCGCGGCCACTGCGTGGCAGGGAGCTGCTGCGCCGGGCCGGGCCGCTGTCGTGCAGATGCTGCTGTCCTGTCTTCCCTACGACGCCTCAGTCCTTTCCCTATCGCCCCCGCGTATGGCGGCGCAGTTCCCAACCCAACCCAATCCTGCCAGCTCCCTCCCACGGCCCCAACCATGGCTGCCCGTAACCCAACATACCACCGAGCCGCCGTCAGCCGGGATCACAGCAGCTGCTCCGCCCATGGCTCCTCCCCCCCCGCAGCGGCCGACGCTGGCACCACAGGAGCCGCTGCCGCTGCCTGCGCCTGCGCCTGCCCCCGCGCCCGCGCCTGCGCCCTCGCCTGCCCCAGTGGAAGGGAGTCCCTGGCGAGGTGAAGCCGGCCCTGGGGCTTCGCGCCCTGGCACACAGCAGCTGCAGGAGGGCGGCGAGCAGCCGGTATGGTGCCTGCAGCTTGGAGGGCAGCAGCAGCAGCAAAGCAGCTGCGGTGGCCGAGAGAGAGGGGCACAGGTGCAGCAGCCCCGTGGTGACCTGCCAGCAGCCGGGGCGCCAGCGCAGCAGCAGCTGCAGCTTCAGGTGCAGCAAATGCTGGGTGTTGATAAGGAGCATCAGCAGGAGGAGAAGAGAGATCCTGCAGTCGCCGAAGACAGGGCCGCTCAGCCTCCTCCCTATCGCCAACCCAATCGCCACATTAACAAGACCCAGCGTCCCGCGGGAAAGGTTACTTCAGCGTTGGTGCAGACGGCCCGCCGCAAGCGTGCATGGGAGGGCGAGGGCACGCAGAACCCTGCAGGTCCTTGTACCTGGGATCGGCAGCTGTTGCGAGACGGGGATTCCAGCGGCCTGCTCGACCTGCTCCCGCCTGCCCCACCATCCCGCGTTGTGGTGGACGAGAGGACGTGTCGGCGCGACGGTGAGCTGGAGTTGAGGGGCTGGGAGCAGGGCGGCAGCTGGCGCGAGCAGGAGGAGCGGGGCATACCGGTGGGGGCCTCGGAGCAGCTGCAGCAGCAGCCCCCACCGCAGCAGCCACCGCAGCAGCAGACCGTACAGCTGCAGCCCCGGCAGCAGCCGCCAACACAGCAGGAACAGCGCCGTGAACGTGACGAGGAGGATTGCGATGACCCTGACCCTGGCAACGGCGACTGTGAACCCCAGTTTAACTATGAATACGACTACACCTACCAATACACGTACACGTACGACTACCCGACCACCCTCGGCAGCGGGAGACAAGCAGCAGGTGGAGGCGGGCCGGGCTGGGGACCCCTGCCGCTGCCGCGCGTAGACCCCGGGGGCCTCCCTTAGTGCGCGCCGGGAGTGCGGCAGGGAGAGCGGCTGCAGTGGGAGCGGCCGGCCCAGGGGTAGCGATGGATGGAGGCGATAGGAGCGAGCGCTGACTCCAAGCGGTAGTGATTGCAGGGAGGTGGGTTTGAGATAGGGCATCTGCGAGTTCGTGCAGACCCGTGAGTCTGTAGGTGCGGGCGTTTGGGGATGGCTACGTAAACGGACTAGCGGAAGACTTGTAATATAGCTTTTACCCGTCCTAAGGACGCGCTTAACGTTGGAGACATGGATACAGTTGAAGGGTTGCGAGTGCTGATCTGAAATCGTGATGGTAACATGTGTGCAGGCATGAGCGCGTCTGGCAACGTTTACCGAGGTTTTGGCGATACGTGCATTCTGTCGAACGTGCGCGGGTCGGTGTGGCCCTTCCTTCCGGGTGTAGGGGGGCATTCTCCTGCTTGCCTGGGTGCTGGGACCCTGCGGTCTGGTTGCTTTGGCGGTTATTTCTTGGACCATTAGCAGCGTTCAGCGTTCGTTTGGTGTTAACCCTGCTGCATGCGTGCAAGAGGACGCTCCATAAGGACGTTAGAAGTACAGGTGCGGTAGCTCCCGCACCAGGCTTCCTATTCATATTCATGTTTAGCATACAGGAGGGATGTGCATGCTGTTCGTGACATCCTTACATCTTAACACATGTGCGTGGCGACCTGTCGATGAGCTGCGTCCCTGCCGCTGTTCTGAGTGGTTTTGTGGCGGCGGCTCCATTCATCTGTTCGTACAAGGGTGTTTCCGTACTCTGCCTACTGTTGGACACCTGTCAGACAAGCGAACGCGTGTTGCGAGGCTGCCTCTCGCTTGGGCGTCACGGCCGCCACTTACTATTCTACTGTAGTGCAGTCCGTGAGCGAGTTCCATGACCCTGGCATATGTGCCCCAGGACCTATGTTACACCCTGTCATCTGTGAATGCGTATAGCTGTCCCTGAGATGTCTCTGCTTGCTTTGAAGCACAGACCTGGCCACGCCGACGACCTTGAGAGGGACGTCAGCCTGGGAAGTCAACAAGTCGTGCTGCTGCTCGACTTGAGTCTAGATACAGGGCTGGCTGGCGGACTGCGTTGTCGCGATGCTACTTTTAGTGAGCTACTGCGGGTACTTGGTAGCTGTTCGTGGCCGCCAAGCAGCATACTGGTAGACCTCTTGACGGCGTTGACATGCATAAGCATGTGAGAGGCCCCGCTACAAAACAAGCCATCGTGTGCGTCGTCGTGTGCGGTGGCTCTTCATGGTTTGTTGGCAGCGCTTGTGGTATTACGGCCCGGCAAGCTAAGGACAGGACGATTAGTCAGCAATGGGACTCTGTCCCTGTGTGCACCATTGGTGTTTTTTCGCTGCTGGGGCACTATGGCGTTAGGGACCCACATTGTGATCCGGTCCTCCTACTATGGTTTTCGTGTAGTGGGTTCTCGGTGGTTGGTAATCGGATTGCTGGCGGTATCATTGTGTGAGAGATTAGGGCCATCACCGGTCGTTAGTCATCCTTATAGACGTTGTGTACGGTTCGACAGGCAGGCCCGCATGTTGGCATGGCTGCCTAGCCCTAGGAGATCACGCTTGGACTAGCACGGCACTAACCGAGTGCGATTACGCATGGTTGGCCATAGCGCTCAATTTTGTGCACACCACCTGTAGTACGCCAATACCGTTGAGTCACAGACAACACTGGTACGTGGTGGCCTACCTCCGGTCGCGCTGCCCCATGCAGTTTCCCAAGCTAGCCAACTGCGCCCCTGCAACCTCGAGAGGGCATTTAAGTTAGGGTGCCCCTGCTCACGAGCAGCCGGCATGTGGAATTACACACGCGCGGCAATAGATTCCGGCCACTTGGAGACACATACGAATACGCACATGCTCTTCTACAAGCTCTCCCGGCAACGCGCCAACCCACGTGCGCCAACACAGTCTGCCGCCCCACCCGACTGATCCGCTCCCACTCATCAGTGTCACCATCACCAGAATCACCAGCACCAGCACCAGTGTCCTCACCACCGCCCGCCACCCTGCTGCCCCTGGCCCACAGCTGGGGCTAATCACAGACGGCCACAACGAACGACGCTAGCTGCGTATATCGTCCAGCCTCCAGTAGTGCAGCCCCTGTAGTGGCCTCGATCCAGCTCCTCACAAGGGACCAAGCACAAAATGAACAGCATGCATACGCACATACTGCTGGCACGAGGTAACCGTGTGACGACGGATCTACCCCCGTCGACTTGTTACGAATGCTTGCCACCTGACAACCTGGGGTGCGACAGTAACACCATGTTCACTCCCGTAAAGCCATGCACAGGGGCTCATGGAAGAGCTGCCTCCAGGTTGGGTGGGCCTGAAGGCAGGTTATGCGAGCTGGTTCAGCCGTGGTTGCCTGTCCATGGCCCTCAGCAGCCGCCACACACGCTCCAAGCGCAGCTCTTGAAGGGGTGGCATCTTCGGCGGTGACAAATTCTTGCGCTAAAGCAGGACAGGCAGGGTGGACGGGGCGGGGTGGGGCGCTCAGTTTGCCAGGCTAAGCCCATTCGTATGGAACGACTAAACGGTTTTCCAAAACAGGTTTTCAGAAACCTCCTTGAAGAACTACGTCATAATACTGGTCTGTATTTGTGACAACATGTGCTGACGGACCCATGGGTCCAAGGGTGCCTTCCTACCCCAAACCCCAACGCTCGTAGAGCCAACAGTCGCAACACCCTCTAAGCAGGTATACGGCATGCAGCGGGCTTACTCGGGACTCCTCCTGCTCCCGCTGCTCCTGCTCCTGCATGCGCTCCAGCCATCGTGCCATACCCGCGGGGTCGTACCCGGCCTCGGACAGCAGATGTACGGCAATGCGGTCGGCCTCAAAGAGTTCCCTGGTGGGAGGCAGCAGCCTACCGGGTCGCTTCCGCAAACCGAACGCTTGTACGCCTAACACGCGTCTTCGGCGGCCATCTATGACCAACCAACGAGGCATCTAAGCAAAGACCTGTCGTGTGGAAGGCGGATTTACATATTGCTCAACGCAGTAAGGGCATACCTGACGAACCAGATGAGCATATCCTCGGGCTGCTGCCCGATAAGCAGGGCGTCCCCAAGCTGTCCGTACAGCACGAAGAATTCAGCCTGCGTGCGGCACGAAGAGGAACCACCAAAAAAGCGACCAGTCATCACATCAGCTCACCAAGAACGCGCACCTATGCATGCCAGAGGGTACCTGCATTATATGAGCGTCTGATAGTGGTAGTGCAGCCGTGCCGCTGCCCACGTCAGTGAGTATGCCTTAGAATCTCAACACCTCAACAGTTGTATGCAGCTTCCCGAGTTCCCACCTCGTGCCGTGCCAGTTTTTCCGCCAACCTGTGCGCCAGCACTGCGGCCAGCAGTGACTCATCCTCCCCCGCCAGCTGCAAGGCGTGCTGGTTGAGCAGGACCTGGGGTAGGTGGAGGCAAGGGGTAGGCGCGGGATTGTCGCGGGATCGGCGTGGAGGTTGCTGGAAACTAAAAGTCAGTTCAGATGACTTCCAACTTTAGCAACTAACCTCGTGCGTCTTGTTTTCGCCTTGGCCAAACACGCAGGTCGGGTAGTCAAACGTGAACAAGTTCGCAATCACGTAAGCAAAGGCTGCCGCGCCAATTTCGTCCTTGAGCTTCTCCCGGCGCTCCTCGCCGCGCCCGGCCATCCACTGTTCATATCGCTGCTCCTCGCTGGCCCCAACCACGGGCGCCACCACCGCCACCGCCCACGGCATGTCAGGTGTAATGTGGTCGTACTGGCCCCCGCCCCGGCCCGCAGCAGCAGCAGCAGCCAGCCGCTGCAGCACCCCCCGCACTCGCACCACGTCAGGGTGATCGGCGGGAAGCAGCTGGTTCCACCAGCCCGCCAGGGTTCTGGCCTCCTGCACATGCAGTCATTGTTTGAATGCATCATAAGGCACTGGGGATTACACCCTTACTCCGGGGAGTAAAGTAAGAAGCTTGGAAAACTTCATCCGTATCTTCTGTAGGAAGGAATAGTCGAAGAATCTGGGCTATCCATGACCGGAACCTGCCTTGTGATTCCCAATCCTCACTTACTGCGAAGAACTCCTCCTCCGACCTCCCCGGCACGTACATGCCGTCCTTTGTCAGCTTGGAGGCCCGTGACAAAACCATGTGCGTACGGTGGACGTACGGTACCTGCAGTACGGGGCGACAGCGGTAAGCTTATAGTATTGTTATATTAACTGCGACACCGCGAGCATGAGCGCAAACACAAGTCCACAGTCAATAATACAACTCCACAGTCGCATGCCGCATGCCGCTCATGTCACCTCTTCAAGCATCGACCACATTCCGTAAAACCACCCAGCAAGGGAGAGGATGAGGAACACTTTCAGTATCAGACCTCTGCAGCGTAAGGCGTAAGAGGAAAACACGAGCACAAAGTGTGAATGATAGATGACCTGGATAGGAGCATGTACGGTAAACTGCTGAATGGTCGACAGACAAGCGGCGGAGGCCATTGCATGCCTGGTTTGATGCGCTTTGATGGCTTTGCAGGAGACCCACTTTGCTTGGCGGTCAAACCAGAGCAGGGCTGCAGCGACAGGGGCCATGGTGGCCAAGGGAAGCGGTCCGAAGAGGAGTACGGTCATGCCCACCAGCAATTGTGCGAAGAAAAACACAGTTCTGCGAGCGTCGGAGAGCAGCTGACATGTTTACCGTCAAAATCATTGCAAGAACAATGTGCACAAAACGTACAAGTTATTCCAGAAGGACTGGGCGGAGGCACTGGTTGCCGTTGCCATGAAGCGCACAGGAGCGAGGGACGTACTGCTGCTGGCAGCTGCTGGGAAAGCCTGGCTGGCTGCCGCAGCGGCTGCATTGCCGGCAAGGCCCTCCAGCAGGGGAAGAGTTCGGTTAGCTAATGGGAGGGAGGGCTTGGGAAGGCTAGCCCGCGCCGAGATAGAAAGCAGCCTTCTTGCGACAAAACACGGCAGTGCTGGGAGTGCGGAGGTGCAGCCCAGCAGCCCAGCTGGCGAGGCTCCTGCTGCCCGAGTGGCCAAGCAGCAGCTGAGGCGCTGCAGCAGCCTTGCCTGCTGCGATCCGCCTCCCATGGCTCAATGACGGCGAAGCCTGCGTAACCGAAGAGCGATTGGTTGCAAATGGCAGGACCATGCATAACGGTCTCTACATTGCGCGCGGTCAGTGCGTAGCGCAGCCTAGCCGAATTAGGGCTGCTAAAACGCCTTTTGATTTCGTCCTAGCGTTAGAGGGACATATTGTCCTTACCTTCCCTGGGGTTGCTCCTGAGACGAACGATGAGATGGACGACGCGAAACGTTGCGAAAACGTATGATCAAGGAAGTTATGCAGTTACTTAACAATTATGACCTCGAAGGTTGTATAAGAGCTTGTGTCTTTTCGAGGCATGGCCGAAAAGGAAACGACACCTTGAAACGACCGACCGTTGCATTTTGCAGACGAACGGTTCGCGTAATAAAATCGCCATAATCGCTATTTAAAGACAGTGAGCGTAAGATTGGCGTATTCGTGTTCCCTTTTAGGGAACCATTGTAACGGTCATTCACTGAGTAAAATAAACAGTCATATCGCCCACTAATAAGCTAGTGGAGCCTAGGATGATGGAATGCTCCCCACTATATTAGTGACTTGCAATACATGTTGTAAGAATACAGGTAGAACGTATGCAGAAAGGTTTACTTTCCTAAACTTCTACAGAAACGCCCACCTGGAAGCTTGTAGCTCGTAAAGTGCCTAATTCTGGGTGGTGCCAAACTTCGGACAGTCACTGTTTTTGCCCAATGCCATCACGTACAAAGCTCCTTTGGCTGTACTTCCGCTGGCAAATCTTTTTATTTTTATGAGGTAAAGGTAACTGGCGAATTGGTAGCGTAATTTATAAAGCGAAACTTGCGCACTTGGCAAAAAATGCATACAGGTGGCCCCGGGTATAGTGAGACACCTTTGCACTTCCAAGGCTCGCAATTTTGATAGAAAGCATGAAACGAAGTCCAATTTGCGGCATTGGCTAGCCCTATGAGTCCTTCGTACGGCGTAGTGAGCGCGGCCAGCAAAATTAAGTTTATCACACTGACACTCACAATCTTCGGGGCAGGGTCACAATGCGCTGATTTCCCGAAAACCGGGGTAATCTGAGACACCTGATTTTAGCACATAAACAGCCTTAAAAAGCGGTTAGAACTCATTGCCTTGCGGCATGTTAACGTCATATATCAACAGCACTCATGTGCACAGCTAGAAACTCGCCAGTGCTCACAAACTCTGCATCGCAAGCTGAGATCCGCATCGCCATCATGGTGTGCACAACTCTTCTCCTACACTGACGCCGACTTGCATTTTTGCAACATAAATGGAGTACATGTGATAGGAAACCTGCTTCTGCAATGCACGCTTTCTCCCGGCTCTGGCGGTCCGGGTCGTGCATCAATTTGCTGCTCGTTGCTGGCGAAAGAGTCACGGCTATACACAAAACGCATCGATAAATCGTTGCTAAGGCTCTGTATGGCTTATAAGATGTATAAGGGGCCACAAGAAGAGTCTATGCTTAGTGCCGAGGCCGAATTTGACATGGCAGCGAGTCCAAATCCGGTCGGCAAAGCCGGCATTGCTCCGGTACCGCGCGACACTTTTCTTCGAAACAAATTAGATAAGAAACATGTGTCTAACCATTACTTCTTATATATAAAAGGGCTAAGCATTCTGTGCACCCAGGGTGCCATAAACGCGAGTGTCTCACAATACCCACTGTCTCACAATACCCGGGGCCACCTGTATCGCGGCTTCAAAGATTTGGGACACTTAACAACTGGACAGCCAAACTTGCACCAATACGGTTAGCGCGTTCCCCATTGGTGCCTGGTATGCTTGTTTAGTTGTTAAATACGGCTAAGAGGGGACCGAGCTCCAAAGCGAATAGAAAGCGAACCATAGCAGTGCCATCTCCATGCATCCAAGTAGTCACCAGAAGCACAGCCACAGCCGCAACCATCGCCTCCAAACCTCACTCCCAAAGCCAAACGTAGAAAGTATAATCAGTGGACCGAGCCTGCCTTCTGGGCTGCGAGCGCCGACTTTGTGGCAGAACGCGTGGAAAATGCCGGCAATCGGGTTGACATGTTGACGCTAACAGCACCAACGACGTTCCTAGGCCCACAAACGGACGTGGGTGACCTCCATATTAATGTTGTAAGAGATTAAGACGGCCGGTTTGTAGTATACTTGCGTAAAAGGTGTCCCAACTTAGGTCGCCGACGCGATTTGGCTGGGAAATTACTTCGGGTCATAATGTTCACCAGTACCCGCCCAGCGACTGGCTGCTTCTATATAGTTATTACTTACGTATAGAGGATCCTATCTATCAAATTAGGAGTGCGAATGAAGAGTTATGCAGCGTACGAGAGCCCAAAAATAGAAGTGTCCGAAGTATGGCACTTTACGAGCTAGGCAATGAGGACTAGTAACGTAACTTGCCAGAAAGCTACTAAGGACCTACACGGATACCGGTAGTACTTGCATGCGTGTCAGCCAGCAGTGCAGGGTGTGCACTGGCTGCTTGGAAACTAGCCCAACATATTAACCTTATCACAGTTCTTGAATTTCACATGTTGGCCGCTTAATAAGCAAGTTTCATGGGTGCACCCCGAACCTCGCTCGCTCTCCTCTCAGCCAGTGAGGCGAATCGTGGGGCTAGCGGGCGTCTCCACGCCAAGACGGGGCATTGCTGTGTCGGGGGCCCAATGGCGATAGGCATTCACTCAACAGCCTTACACGGGGTTGCGGCTTGCCGGTGCCAGCTCATGTCAGCGTGCCCGCATACACAAAGCTAAGGATGACCCGCAGCCAACCCAAGACCCCAAGCAGTCCAGGTGTCTACCTCCACTCGACTGACAATGAGCTGTTATGCACCCGAATTCCTAGCACCCTTACTACCGCTGCGCCTCTCACCCACCTCGCCTCCGTCACTGTCCAACCTGTCCTGCACCCGTCTCAACTAGCCTCACCGGGCGCCTGCCTCACATGCGCCAACGAGCCCGAGCGGCCACCACCACAACGTCAAAGGGATGTCTGCTGATTACGAATAGCCGGCAAAAGGGTCATACCGCGAGACACCACATCAATCTATGCGGACATGGATGCATGTGCATGTCCCACCAAGCATCCCCGAAGCATGCCGGCCCCTTCCCCGGCCTCCAACACCTCACAGTCCCTCCAGCCATGCTAGGAAGTCAGTCAGGTACCCGCCAGCACCGGCCACGTGCGCCAGCGCAGCATGCCGTCCCACCTGACCGACCCGCTCCCACTCATCATCAATGTCACCATCACCAGAAATGTCACCCGCCACTCCGCCCCCGGCTCCTAGCCCGGGTTCATCCCAGAAGGTCACAGTAACGGACGCTAGCTGCACATCAGTAGTGCAGCCCCTGTAGTGGCCTCGGCCCAGCTCCGCACAAGCTCATACTGACCGCATAAGCTCCGACCAAGCCCAAACTGGACGGCATACATATGTTCAGGCACGTGGTGGCCGTGCGATGGCTGACCAATCAGGTGCATGCCAGGCTGCGGCAGCAGCACCATCCATCTTCGCCCCGCGTATCCATCATAAGGGGCTACAGATAACTGGTGCAGCCCAATTTCTTTCGGGTAGGCTCGAAAGCAGGTTATGCGAGCTGCTTCGGCGGTGATGACCCGCCCATGGCCTTCAACTGCTGCAGTACGCGCTCCAGGCGCTCCTCAAGCGACGGAATCAGAAGGAGCATCGCGGGGCCGTGCCAGCCTGTCGCGTGAAGAAGGCTCATCACGGCGCGGTCGCGTGAAGAAGGCCCATCAGGGGCTTGCTCCTGTGCCGCCTGCTGCTGCTCCTCCGGTGGTCTCACGCGCTACAACACGACAGAGTGGGTGGAGGGTGCGGGGTGGGGCGTTCAGTTCGTCAGGATCCGAACTTTCCTTGCACTGACAGACATAGCCTAAACGTGGTGTGTTTGAGTGGTTGGCTTGAACCAAAACGTTGTTGGGTTATCTTGAGAGATCATGAATGGATTGTACTATGACAAGAGTCTCCCCACATTAATGGATCGTACATTGACTTTGGCCGTACCCAAGCCCTTCAGATGTGAATTACAGAATCTCCTACATGAAAGGTGAGGTGACGTGTCTAAACCCCAATTTACCACCTCCACATGGCACCTGGAGTTGGACTGTTTTGATGACAGACCCATGGGTCCGGCACCCTACTGCTCTAACGTTGCCTCTCATATTACCATGCATACCCGTTTCATATTTAAGGAATCAACATAACAGGCGTTTAATCACCACAGTCGGCGCGCGGTCTCACCCGGAGCTCCTCTTCCACATACGGCCGGCTCAGCTCCTGCAAGCGCTCCAGCCATCGTACCATGCCCGCGGGGTCGTACCCGGCCTCGGACAGCATGTGTACGGCAATGAGGTCGGCCTCGAAGGTTGGCCTGGTGAGGACGTAGCATACCGGCTTGATAAAACAGCCACACGCCTAGGCATTGTTGACTGCAATCTTTGACAAAACGTATAACTATGGACCATGTGCAACGTATCATTTTGAGTGTCAACTAAAAATGGGGTTTTGGAGCGCATGTACGACAGGGAGCAGAGCAGTCGCCACCAGGCTTGCGAGTGGACGGTGCTAGACGTTTTGACCTTGGTTAAACAGTTTGCCCTCAGCTGGCCTTTCAGGTCTTTGCCGCTGAGTTTCCGTGCGCAGTTAGGAAGGCGCTGACTTTTGCGTAGTTGCAGACAGTTCTTAAGTATGGCTGCAGCTGTAGGTAGGCGAGCCTTTTTGGAGGCTAAATTAGCAGATATTAACCAAGAGCTAGCAGAGCTAGGTTGACCGAAGCAGACCGAGCTCAGGTCCGCGAGTACAATTGGGCGGTAGAGCAAGCCGAACAAGCGTATCAGGCAGCCATGGCTCCAGTGGGACTTACCAGGCCTAGCCGTGGCAGCGCGGTAGCAGTTAGCACCTGGCAGGAAGCCCATCAGCGGGCCAATTCAAACAGAAACGCTAAACGGAGGCAGGCTCGCGAGACGCACAGGCGCGGTTATGAGTTGCTATCACGTTACCAGTCTTGGGAACAGCTTCGCAATCAGGGGACAGCTCTGCAAGAAGAATTGGCCGCGCTCCCAGGGCCCAGCAACGCAGCGGCCGGAGCAGCGCCGGCTCACATCCACAACGCCGAAGCAGAGGCACCGGAGGAAATTGACAATGGTGAGAACGGGGCGGAGCAACGGCCAGGAGGGTCCAGGGGCCGGCGGGCAACAGCGGCTCGCGTTCGGGCAGACAGGGGACGGGGGGGCACTCGTGCAGTCCGGGAGGCTTTCCAGGCGACCCCCGGCCGTCAGATAAGCCACCGGCACGCCACCACTGCTTCACCTAACGCGCCTGACCCCGAGACCTTGGGCGTAACTGGTCACCTAGATGCTCTTGCTGAAGATTTCCTTGCCACCCAAGCAACGCCACTGCAGCACACCGGCCCTCCCGCCATGCCCGGTACGGGGTCGCCGGCAATCGCAAGGGCAGCGCCGGCGAGGGACGTGGGTGTGGCACCCAGCGCCGTATCCGTCCCACCGACAGCGGTTGTACGGGCTCTCGATCGCCTTGAGAACGCGGGCTTGAGCGATGCAGCTCGCAAAGTACGGCGCCTCGCGAGCCTGGAGCTGGCAAGACGGGAAATCAGGGAGCCTGTATCCGCTGACGAGGCAGCGGAAGTCTGGAGGACGGTGCTAGAGCGGCAGCTGGCGGCTCTGCAGGACGAAGAAGACAGCGAACAGCACCAGCCTCAGCGCCAGCAACGGCAGCAGCAGCAATTGCCGCAAGACCGGCGGCCGGCAGTCGCCACCCTGCAGAACGACCAACGGCACCCTGCCATAGGGAACGCACGCTGGAGTGCCGGCCTGAACCTACAGGGCCTTCCCGGCAGCAGCAGGCTGCAAGCATTTGGGGCAGCGTCAGCAGGCCTGGGAGGCCTAGGGGGACTGGGCCTCACGCTGGGGGGCAGTGGCGGGGACTTAAACAGCAACTCTTCAGTGCTGGGCCTCGGCCACCTACCCCTCGGCTCAGCACCGCCGTCCGCTCTGGGCCCCCTGGCGGCAACCGTTCAGCGTGAAGGGGCCTGGGCAGACGTGTTCGACCGCATCCCAGGCCTCAGCAGCCTGGTCTCGCTGGCGGACGTCAGCTTCGCATCCCGGGACCAGGCGACCTTCACGCACAAGGCAGACAGTCATCTCCGCTCCCTGCAGCATCTCGCGTCCCAGCTGGAAGCGGCCAAACACTGCGCATCCTCTTCGGAGGAGCTCTCGCTGCTCTTGGCCAAGGCCGCGCAGGTGTGGGAGGAGGCTTTTCGTACACAAGAGGTCCTCCGGCAGGTGCAGAATGCAGCCCGTGTCCTGCCCTTCAAGGACGTCATGGACGTATTCAGCAAGGGCTCTCCCCTCACACAGCAGTTCCTAGCCGCCCTGTCGCAATTTACGGACAGCCAGCGCCAGCACCTCTTCGGGAAGTTCGCCTCAGCCGCCGCTCCCGCGGCGGCTTACCCGCCGCCACCGCCTCTTCCACTCCCGCCGGCCCCAGCACAGCCCCGTGCCCCACGCGACAACGGCTGCTTCTACTGCAAGAGGCCCGGACACAGCTACCGCGGCTGCCGAGAGTTGCGGTCGCTGGAACCTGGGGCCCAAACGGCAGCATTCGCAGAATGCGCCAAGCAGGAGCAGGCAGCCCGCCGGCCGGCTTAGGACGCGGCAGCGTCAGCTGGGGGCGAGGTCGCCCCGGCGCCAACGGCGCCCCCCCTCCATCCAGCCGCCGGCAGTACGGCCGGCGGTGGGGCAGCTGACGCAAATACGGCAGGGATGGAGACACCAGAAGGTAAGCGTGTACGCGACCTACGGCGGACTGGGGCCCTGCGCGGGTGACAAGCAATGTGCTGTTGCGTGTGTCCATGTGGCGCGACCCTGCCCGAGGGGAGAAGGGCCTGCCTGCGTCTACCTGCTGTCTAGTCTGTGGTGTACGCGACCTACGGCGGACTGGGGCCCTGCGCGGGTGACAAGCAATGTGCTGTTGCGTGTGTCCTTGTGGCGCGACCCTGCCCGAGGGGAGAAGGGCCTGCCGGCGTCTACCTGCCGTCTAGTCTGTGGTGTACGCGACCTACGGCGGACTGGGGCCCTGCGCGGGTGACAAGCAACGTGCCGTTGCGTGTGTCCTTGTGGCGTTACCCTGCCCGAGGGGAGAAGGGCCTGCCTGCGTCCACCTGCTGTCTAGTCTGTGGTGTACGCGACCTACGGCGGACTGGGGCCCTGCGCGGGTGACAAGCAATGTGCTGTTGCGTGTGTC